TTTTTTTTTGATGCCAATTCCTGGAATACACTTCTACGCTTAACTGACCAGTTTCGGTCCCGACTGAAACCATTAGTCAGTTACGTGAGGAATACTGTATTTTGTCAGTATTGTGTAAAATATGTAAAATTAAATATTTTGTAAAATAGTGTTTTGTAAAATATAATTAATTATAAAAAATATTGGAACTATATTTTAACTATTATGTATTAAATATAAAAACAAAGACATCAAAGAGAAAACAATTCACATCAAATGACGCAACAAATTATCAAATGACAATTTTATATTTATGTCCAAATATATTTTAAATTGGAGATAATAATTTCTTGTTTTGTGATCTTCTGGTGATGCGCTGCAAAGCTGAAATTAAATTTTAAATATTTATTATATACAATTAAATATTTTTAGTTTGGTAAAAACTAGAATAAAATAATTACGTTTTTCTTGTATTTCCAAAGTAGGGATTTCCACGCATATACTATTACTCCTACTTCTACTTTTACTTTTAACATGCGGAGTCAAAGGTAATGTTGGTTTATTTGTCCCATCACTGTATTCTTTTTCTGAAACAAAATGTGCTCATTTAAAGCATTACATTTAAAAAAGATAAAATATTAATAATATAAAATAAAATATTTATTTAACATTATCTGTACCAGAAAACTTCACACTTCTAGTGGATTTTCTCTTGTTCTTGCTTTTGTCTAAAGATATATCATCACAATTGTGACACAGCAACTCTATATCATTTCTTTCATTGGTATTCAATTTAAAACGACTTCTCCTTTTTCTTTTATCAATAGGAGTTTCGGTTTCTTTATGTTCTATTTCTTGTACATTAACAGACATTTTTCTAGAAGATCTTCTCTTAAGTCTGGGTGTATCTGTTGAAATAATAGTTCTATTCCTCAAAATTCTGGTAGTTTCATTTTGTTCATCTGTTTCCTCAGTACTACTTATAGACTGTTTTTGTAATTTGTCATTCAATATATTTAAATCAATGTCACTTGTGTCTTTTTTCAGTGATACAGAAGTACTTGTATTTAATGGCAAAGTTTGATCTAACATTGAATCTATTGCATTTTGTCTTGTGATCCTCCTTAATGATTTATTAGAATTTTGTATCTGTATAGATACTGTTTTACAAATATTTTCATTCGTTGAATTTTTATTTTCCAGAGATTTTTTGGTATCATCTTCATTTTCCTTACAACTACTATCGTCAAAGTTCAGCTTTTTTTCCACATTAATTTTTACTTCATCTGTGCTATCAAAGTCAAAATTATCTATTCTTGATAATAAAGTTAAATCTACTTTTGTCTGTGTTTCTTCATCAGTTGATACTTCATTTAAAATTACATGCTCATTAAAATTAATTTTATTTGCTGATTTTACACATTCTGTTTCATTTGAATTTTTTTGTTGTTTCAATATGCTCTTTCCTGGTGTCTTATTAGAGTTAATGTATGATATTGAATTATCTAGCTGAATCTTAGGAGTTTTACACATTTGACTTATCTTTATTAGTGTTAATGGACTTCTTGTCTTCTTTGATGTATCAGACAATTGTATCTTTTGTAATAAACTTAATCTATTATTTTTCACAAATTTATTTTCATTACAATTAAGAGATCTGGATTTTATTTTGTTTTGTTTTATGTTAGAACTTTCATTTCTGTCACATTTATTGTTTACACTGTGATTTAAATTAGGTTTAAATTCTTTCATATCGTCATCATTTTTCATCTTCTTTTTCTTTTCTACTAAGAAAGCTCTAATAGAACTTGATTTAGTTGATACAACTTTTTTTTTAGAAATTTTCTTTTTAGTAACTGGTTTATTAATAAACAATTCCTCTTCTTTCCAGCCTTGTACACGAAGTTTTTCCAATTTTTCAAATCGTAAGTTACAATTTTCTACTTCCATGTACATCATATCCCAAAATCCTTGCAAATCTTTACAAGTCACTAACATTTTTCCCTTTCCTGTTTCACAATCATTAACTAATCCACGGAATCTTTCAAACTTTTTGTTTATTAACAAATTTGTTTGTCCAATAGCTTGATTTATTTCATATTGACCATCTTCTGTAGTGTCGGATTGCCTTTTGATTTCCATCCATTTTTCACATAATTCATTTAATCTATTTATTTCTTTATTCAAAAGAAAATGAAAATATTGTGCAGTGTGTTCTTCCTCTTCAATTGAAATATTTAAATTTTTCATAACTGTCTCCTTCGTGGGAATATCATCACTTAAGGAATGAACACGAATAAGACCTTTCTTTAACTGTTGCTCTTTCCTAGCATTACTTTTTCCACGACTAGAAACTATGTGAGGTGAAAAGAAAGCTGGCTCACATGGAGAATTTGACTGTATAGACATAGATTTATTATTATCTGAAGAAGAGCTCGTTTTTCTGGTACTATTATGTATTTTATTCTTCATCATCACTTCGTTATCATTACTACTGTTAGTATTAATAGAATTTGTTGTTTCTGAGTCTTTAAATAATTTTAATGATGTAGATTCTACAGAATTATCATTTGTCTCAGTCACTGGTGAATAAGTTTCCTTTTTAATGAATTCTGTACTATTGTTTTTAATAGTACTGCTCCTAGATCTTGTCATTTTCAAGGGAGGATGTAAAAATTGTTGTACACTGTCAGGTGACATACTTCGTATGTTTAATCTACCGAATAATGGTATATTAGGCAATCCTGCTGGAGCTTTAAATATGTGACCCTCTGGAGCAAATGATTGCTCCTTCTTTTCTTGATTCTTATTTAATTTGTCCGAACTCTTATTAGAATTTTCTGCACTTAAATTCTTTTGAGTTGCTTTATACATCAGTCTTTTCTCTGTTGCCTTGCTTATCTTTTTCACAATAGGCTTAGATGAGACATTTGAAGTTGTTGTCATATTTATAGTTGCTGCTGGTGAATATATTTTATGATGAACAACACCAACTACAAATGGTTGTTTCTTTTTACGTTGTTCGATCCTTTTACGTTTTTCACGTTCAGCTTTCCATTTTGTAAGTCTAGTAAGACGATCTTGTACTGCTGGATCAATCTGTGCTTCTGAAATTACGTTTTAGTTAGTTTATAGTTCCAAAAATTATTTGTAAAGTTATGTGTAAAATGTATAATAAATGTATAATAATGTAAAATAATATAAATCTTTACCCTGAGTGTTTATTGCACTATTTGACAAATTCCGATTATCATTAAAAGCTCTTGCTCTATGATCCTTACGCGATTCCGTATATTCTTTAGCACGAGTAATACGATTCTTTTCTCTACTTTCGGTGTTAAGTGTCTTGTATTTTTGTCGATGCATTGCTATTTTATTTAAAATTTCACTTTCTACAAGATTAAATGCGTCTCTCTTTTAACTGTTTGCGGTTCAACGGAAAACGATTTAAATATGTTACGCTGTAACAGTGCTACCAATAGTAACTATTTCTACCAGTCCTCTCAAAATCCAAACTTCGAAGAAACAAAAATATTTATAAATGAAATATAAATGAAATTTGTATAATGATATGAATGGGTAACTAATGAAATATTTTTTTTAATAACTTATTATAAAGCTATTACAAATTAATACAAAAGTGTCAATATGAATACTGATACAAGATTTTTTTCTGAGTGAAATTTGTAAAATTTTATATCTTATTTATTTATAATTTTAAAACAATTAAGGACAAAAGATATAATATTATTATATCCATAGAATATTTTAACCTCTATTAAAACTTTTTTTCATTAATATAACTGTTAAGCGATTCCATGTTCAAAATATTACTAGCGATGTATGTTTTTACTTATTGTTAGTGTATCTTTTTTTATGATTTATAATGATATATTTTATTAAAGACAATTTTTTGTTAAATCATATCATGAAATGTAATTAAAAAATTGAGATAGAAAAAATTAATGTTAAAAATAACTTTTAATGTAAAACATGAAATCGATAAACCGGATGTGATGTGTAGAAAAAATTTTCCAGCGCGCCAGTGAGGATTTGAACTTTCGTGTAACAGTTGTTCAACTCTGCTTTCAAGGATGTAAGTATTGTTCTTATCGTAGTAATTTTGGATGCATGTTCTCATTTAAAAAAAAAAAAACACATTTCAATAATTAGTCATGAAAGTATAATTTTCAATGACAAATTTTTTTCAGTCTACATGCGTTATTTTTTAACAAGTTCTTTTCATCTTCTTAACGCTTATTTAAACGAAACTTCGATTAATTATTTAATTTAATTGATTTTATTACTAAATTACAAGGAAATTTGTTTTTCGTTGTCTAAATGTGTCAGAATGTTAGGGAAAATAAACTGCAAACATTTTACTGTTAACGCTAAAAAACTTATTTACAATTTCTATTAAGATTAAAGAAATTTTTGTTAGAAATTCTTCTATACACGTCGATTTTCTTTCATTTTTACATATTCATTTCTATGCGTATTTAAAAAATATATATTTGAAGATCTAGCACTAGTCTATGCTTAAACAACGATTAACGTGAGCTTCCAATAAGCGCAGATTTTCGTAAGTAAGATTGCAATTTGGACACGAATATGGTAATGGTGGATGTTGCAATCCTCCAGCAGAGTTCTTCTAAAATTGAATATGTAAAACATAATTTGTATTACGTTACAAATTATCAAATCGTATATTTAAAGAAACATGGAAACAGTTGAAGCTTACATGTCTTTCAGAACTAATTTTCGACTGTTCGTGAAATTCTATTTGCTTCTGTAAATGCTCGCTTAGTGCATTTTTTTCTTCTAACGCCAACTCTTTGAGTTTTCTCTCCTGTCCAAAATCTTCTTCGTAAAGTTTTAATTGTGTTTGTAATAAACTGATATCTTCCTTCTGCATTAATAACAAACGACTATTGATACATTTACTGTTAAAACTAATTACTTAATTTTCGTTCTTGTTCGATAATTTATACTTACATGCTGCATCAATTCTTTCTCCAGCTCTTTTATAGTTGCTTCTTTCTTCTCAAGACTTTCATGCATTATGCCAAGTTCAGTGATTAATTGATTACAGTTTACTTCGAACTTCTTTTTTTCTGATTCTAATGCCTTTTTATAATGAGTCTCATATAGCAAACTTTGTTGATCCAAAGATGACTGTTCTTCTTGTAAACTTATTCTTTCTTGTTGCAGAAGTTCTTTAACATCATTTAAATTTTTATATTCTATTTCAAGGGTTTTTTTTCGACTGTCGAGTAATTTCTTTTCTATTCTAAGATTTTCTTGTTCCTTCCGAAATGCACTCTTTTCTTCTTCCAATAATTGTTTACTATCAACAATTTGTTTTTCCAATTCTGCAATTTTTTGAACAGATTCGGTAGTTGCATCTTGTTCTTGTACCCTTTTTTTCTCAATATCTTCATTTAATATTGAGTTTAGTTCAGCAATAACTGATCTACTAAGTTTGTTTTCAGGTATAGAGACCTTTTCTCCTTTTCTATTATTTTGTTTGTCATTTGCATCAAGGAGCTATAATAAAACAATGATATTAAGAAATATATAATTTGAAAATAGTACTGTCTAATGGTTTAATGCATTATACCTCGTATCCCATTTCTGTGTGACTAGTTAATTCAGCGCTAAGCCTCATTTTCAAATCAGCATTTTCTTTTTTAAGGTAATTTATTAATTCTCTAGTCTCTGCAAATTTTTTCTTATGATCTTGGTGTACTTTCATAATTTCTTCGTGCCAAGTGGCTAGACTGTTGAATTGTTGCTTCATAGCTATATTATTTTGTTTCAATGTTTCTTTTAATTTAGTGTTTTCTTGCAACAGTTCATTTAATTTTCGATGTACTTCTGCTGAATCCCACGATGCTATCATGGAATTGTAATCCTATACATAAAATTAAATCAAAATAAGTTTATTGAAATGAATTTGAAAGAACAAATTTTAGTCAATGAATAGATACATACAATAGACATAGATTTTTGTTGTATATCAACATAAGATGCAAGTGACGATTGTTGAATAGTATCCAGTGAATCTTTACCTAGCACCACAAAAGATAGTGATGTGTCATCTGCATCAGCACCACAAAAGTTTGTCACTGTTGCTTTAGAATACAAAGGTGCATCCTCGTCCAATTTGAATCTGGCTTTTCCATTGTTTAAGGTAAAGCCAAGGCTTTGTAAATGGCTTTCTGGTTCAGGATATAATTTTGGATTGATATTTAATGGTTTAGTCGTGTCTTGTTCTTGCGACAAAGATTTTTTTTCTTCATTAGGTTCCATGGTTAGGAAATCATTTGCATCAATGTTGCTATAAAACGATCAATAATTATAGTTTTACAGCAACAGCTGGTATTTTATATATATATTTTCTTAAAACTGTGACAAAACCGTATATATAATTTGAATATCAAGTAATAACGAAAATATTTTTAAAAGTTACGTCATAAATAATACAATAAAAAAAAGTTAATAAAGAGTAGCTTAGAATTTAAATTTTTTGTCAATAAACAAATGTCAATAAATATGGTAGTTAACATTAACGTATTAGTATCTTTTCTCCTGTTTTCGATAGAATTTAGACTTACCGAAATCATTGTCTTATTAACATTATGTTGCGCAAAAATGACAGTTCATTATACTTTGTTTTATACGTATTGATATATTGTTTGAGTAATGACAACGTTATGTGATCATCTCTAATTATAGAACGAAATAATTTGGACTCGTCAATAAGAAGTAATATTTCTCAATTTTTTCTCTGTTATTGATTTTTATGCTTGAAAATTAACTTTCGGCATTAGAGCGCATTTAGAACAATCATGTGACTAATTGTGAAAACTCTAGATAAACCACTAATTCGCTGTGCATACAAAATGTCAGAATTTTTCTTACCAACAGCGCGATATCACTATCTAGAGTTTTTCCACCAATTATGTTTCAACATTGACTATGATAGTATAGATGTAGAAAGTCATATGAGATTTATCTCATATTCTAAATTCCAATCTCAAAAAATCTATGGATATTTCGAATTAAAATAAATTAAAAAGTTGTATTTTCAAAAATGTTCATGCTCTGATTTGACTAAAATGGCTATTTTTGAAAACGGCCACGCTTTGATATGGATGTTCCTTTTAAAAGGAACAATGTTCATTATAAGCTTTGATTAATTATAATGGTGATGGCATTGAATAAGGACAAAATCGATAGACTAGATTCATGTTTAGTTTATTTTTAAAGAAATTAAATCTATTAAATTTTAATTTAAGATTAGATGAAAGATCAAGAAATAAAATTACGGACGTAATTTTTCATGTTTATAGGCATAATTCACAGATGTAACATTTTTGTAAAAATTTAATGAACTAAAACAACCAGGGATAAGCAAATTTCTATTCTTTTTCTTTTTTTTCCAATTTATACAATACATCTTTCATATGAAATGCGCGCGCAATAATTTTAACTTTAGTGAAGATTACAGCGCCAATGAAGTGCTCGAAATCTCGCAGTTAGTATTGCGATTCTCGAACATAATCGATGTTTCTCGTAATCAATCTAGTCGATCTATCTAATATTGGAATGTAACGTAAAATTGTCAGTTTCAGGCGGGAACATGGCAGGAAATGTAGCAAGAAGCTGTTTATTGAGAAATCGTCAACTAAAGACTAGCGGTAAGGCTTGTTTTTGAATTGTTTTGAATTATCGAATACATCTACAATGTAAAACAGAGAGCGTTATTTAAAAGAGTTTATATATATGTGTGTTTAATTATTATTAACTGTTACAGACATTTTCGATCGGTGATATTTGCAACGATTTCCTCTAGACCATGATTGCAAATGTCGCATCTAATTGTAAGTCGTATTTATTTTTATTACTTTAGTCATTTAATTATCATAAAGGTTATTTAGATTATCATGAATAAGACTAGAAATAAATATAACAATTTCAAAAGTGAACTGAACGATTATACTGCTATTATATTAAATCAAAACAATGTACCTTCAACTTTCGTTTAAATCAAACCAAAATAGTTTATCTAATTTTTAATGTGTATGTTATAAGAAAACCTTAACTGCGTTGAAACTGAAGATATAAGATTATATTTATGACTGTACGTGAAATCGATATCTGATTGTTACATACTAAAAAATTTTTTTTTAAATGATTTGTCAAACTACTGTCTGATTAGATACACGTATTTGAAATAACATGGCAGTATATAATAATTTGCAATAAAATTAATGTTGAAGAACATTAAAATATAATAGTGAGTTTCGTGCGAAATCATAGACAAGATATAGGATAGATATGACATTTTGTAGAAGTTTGTGACACGTGTTCTGCAATACCGACATGATAAAGGAATCATTGGCACTTTATATTTAAAGTGCACTCTATATTTAAGAAACAGTGAACTGAAGAATTACAAATAAAACGGTCGAAGTTGATCAAGTAGCGAATGCGCCAGAGACATGATGTGAATAATTTTATTTATATATTGATATATTATTTTATTCATATATTAATATATTATAATTTGTTAAATTTTATCAAATTTTCAATACTCTGAAAAAGTCAAATTATTTCTGCACGTTGTATATTAAAATTCTAAAGTTGTTAATATATGGTTTTTAATAAAAATGATTTATGTGTCACGAAACATTCTTAAAAACGATTTTCAACTAACTAAATTTTCAACTGTTTGTTAAATTATTTTCTATGCAGATCTAAATCAGTTGATCATGATTTGTTATCATAATTTTAATTCCCTTATTTACTTATATTACATAATATATGTTAAAAATTTGCAAATTTATGTTAAATTTTTAACAGTTTTATTATAATTTTGTATTGATTGTGATATAATTCTGTATTGAAATGATATATTAAATTCTATTATCTATTCATCAACTAAAAATTTCGCGTTTATCTTCTATCACAGCATAGTTATAATATTATTCGAGATTTTTTTATAAATCTTTGTTTAAATATTAAAAATGCTTTTACTTATCAGAATACAAGAATACATACAAGCTGTTTTATTTTTATCTCGTAAAATCGACTAATCCAAAAATATTTTTACAAATATTGTTTGATATAAAGGGCCACATTATGTGGTGCATAAATTATCTTTTTGTAGTAGTAAAGGGAAATTTCAAGGATCAAATTTATTTTTTTAAATGGGATCATATATCTTTTCGTTGACTAAGAATATGACATCATATGAAACTTTATATCCTGAAATTTCGAATGCCTTGAAAAGAATGTTTTTTAAACCTCCCACGATTCATATTCAACTTAATGTTGTGATAAATCAATAAAATAATAAATTTATTTCAAAATAAATGAAAGTGATAAAATCAATAGTTATGAAAAGATCTTTTATTTATTGAAACACAAATGACATAAATTTACAATGATATTTAATCACAAAGGACGTAGAAAATAGATCTATCATCTTATGGATCTTATGTTCTGAAATATTCAAAAAATGTTAAAGGCTACGATCTTCTACAATATTAATATAAAAAGGTATTATACATTCACAAAAGAATTCAGTTTACAATTTTAGGAATCAATCTACAATCTCTCTAAATCTCTTAATTACATAAAATGCTGCGTTTGCATCTAATCATACTTTTGTTATATAATTCATAATTTTATTACATAGTGATACTATCCTCATTTACCCTTTTTTTACGCATAAAGATTTGTTCATTTTATTTTTGAAAAGAACATTCCCTTTGATGCGCGTTTGAAAAATTTTCACAGGAAGTTTTGAAAAAACTGACGCGGCTCTTATAATTAATACTCACACTATGCTGTCTTCTATGCTGTATCTTATCTATCCCTATTTTTAAAAATGGCAAACACGCCAACATAAACATTCTCACTTGAGCCATTCAAAGAATGCAAAGAGCTTACAATCCAGGGAGTGCAGGGCACCTCTCATACCACAGAGTTCAACACAGTTTCACACTCTAACAAATACGTACCATTTTCTTGAAATCAACTGTTGTACGTAGAAAGAAAGTGCGCAGATCGCGATATAATATCGATTATATTCCGATTTAAATTAATAAATTATAAATGTATAATTGAAAAAGTTCGCGTGTCTTTAAAGAAAAAAAGAAAAAAAAAATTACGTGACTCGATGAACTATGTTACAAACGAAATTTGGTACCTCTATTGTAATTTTGTTACTTTCTACTCTAAGACTCTAAAACTACTTCAAGAAAAAGTCGAATTCATGTTGAATGTTCCCTTTTCAATTTCGTGACTTTTCGTAAGAGCGTCGAACTTGTTCTTTTCAGAAAAAAAAAAGAAAACATTTACTTTTGCTAATTACTGAATTAATTCGTTCAGTAGAAATTTCATCTGCACACACGTCTCTGATGTCATCTTGCTTTTTTCCATTTTATTATCATTCTGACACGACTTACTGGGTGAAATTAAAAGGACTCCCGACACAGATAAAGATAAAATTATCATTTTATCGATATACGCTTATATAACGGGATAGCGTGTCATTCTGATGCGTACACTAGGTATACGTTGCGAAAGAATGATTATCATTTGACCGAATATATTAAAATTTACTATCGCATAATGATCGACAAATATTTCACAAGATTGAATATTATTTTGTTAGCGTGAATTTTATCTTAATTTCAAGCAAAAGGAAGCACCATTATCTCGTCCATTAGTGTACTATATACATTATTTTCGATTTGGAGAGATTTATCATTAATTATTTCAGTTATTGTATTATTATTTTAATTTTACTTGTAAAAGACAAAAATAAAGAACATAAAGAAATCGCGTTTGTTTGTTAGTTACTGATGTTTAAAAATTGTTTAAAAAGACATATTTGATGATTGGCGAATCTCTCTATGCGAATGAATGTAGAACAATTTCGACGATAGACAAAGGAAAGTTCTATGGAGAAATTTTAAGAAAATATTTGACAGGCAATAAACAAATGTAAAATATATCTAGCACATATTTAATATCGTTAATATAGTAAAGAATGTGATATTTACTAGATTATTAACGCTGATAGTGTCCCTATTGTAAATTTGTGTTTGTCACTACAAGTACAGTGATTTTTTGATACTATAAAAAAATCGTAGATTAATCTTTCAACAAAACTGTGGATTAATATTACACTTTAGAGAATTGTGGATCTTTTTACAAAAGGATATCAAAACTTCAAAATTCAGAAGAGAATATCAAAGCTTGCTTTGTAAAAGTTGAAAATTGAAGAGGATTGAGTTGGCTGGTAATTAAGGAAACAGTTGGCCTGGTATAATTAAACAAAAGAAGAATATAAAGTTACCATTATGCATATTTTTTTATTTCATTCTCATAATCAATTAGCTATAGCTATTGCTGTAGCTACATTATCAAAGTGCAAAGGATGTAACTCGTACACAAGAGATAAGCCAATTTTTCTGTTCTTGAAAAACTTCTATATTGGAAATAAAATAAAAAATACCTTTGGAACTATTCGATGTGAATCTAAAACAGTTATATAATTTCATATCTCTTTCTCTTCCATTTTTTTTATACCTTTAAGTTATCTATTTAACTTAAGTTATCTGTACTAATAATTATTTGTTTCGTTTCGTCAAATGTTTTAATATTTCTGAGCGTGATATTCCTGAAAGATTATTTAAATCTGTTATTACTCACATTGCTTCACGTTCTTTTTTGCAGATGTATACGTACAATGATATGCAATTATCATTTAAAAAATCGAGTGTTGTGCAGTTGCATCGCAAAATAGCAGGAGTATGCTAATTGTAAGAAGGAGCAGACGCCTGCCGCTATACTATACCTGTCTTATTCTGATCTACAAACTGGACTACGTAATATGCACTTTTACTTCTTAGTTATAAAAATGAATATCTCATTAAA